AGCCTCCTGAGAAGGAGTACAGGCCTCAAGCCACCAGTACCTGGCTGATACTGTGATTTTTAAATACAATGTGGAATTATTAGCTAATTGACACAAAATGTGAACTTTTTGTGATGGAACAATTTATCTTTGCGTTTATTGATGTGAAATGTATAGTAGTCAATGATTAGATGTCTTTACTACATTGTATAATAAATCTAAAAAACTTAGAATTAAATGTAGTCCTGCCCTGAGGCTATGTCTCCAGCTCAGCTTTTGCTAGCTAATTGGAGACTCTTGGATTTTTCTGGCTTCCAACCACCGGCCTCTGTACTTCAACTCCATGAGTAGCTCAGAGCTCTGGTATAAGCCACCAGGCACCCACCTTCCTTACTAATCTTATAAAATATATATAGTGTTTCAGGTTTTAAGTTTAAGTGTAAATTCAGTTGAGTTTTGCCTGTGATACGTGGATTTAATTTTTTTTTTGCATATAGATGTAATTTCCCCAGCACTGTTGGTTAAACAGACTCTTTTTTCTTCACTGTATTTTCTTAGTACTACTGTCAAAAGCCAGCTAACTGTAGAAGTATTTGTTCAGTTTCATACTTTAAATTTTATTTGGTGTGATAGATCTGGTTTTTTGTGTTTTTTTGTGTTTTATTCCTGGTAGCATGCTGCTTTAATTTCTATTGCTTTGAAGAGTGGTTTGAAATCTGCTAGTATAATGCCATCAGCTGTATTTTTTGTCTGTAATTACCTATTAGGGATTTTTTCTCTATGAAAAATTGTATTGATAATTTGATAAGGATTGCATTGAATCTACAGATTGCTTTGGATACCATGGGCATTTTAACAATATTGTTTTCTAATCCATGAATACATCTTTTCATTTATATATTGTTCAAGTGTTGTACATTGTTTATATTTTTATGTACAATTTGCCTCACTGATTATCCCTAAGTGTGTGTGTGTGTGTGTGCGCGCACGCGCATGTGCGTGTGTGTGTACATGTGAGTGTTCGTACAGGTGAGTGTGCGTGCATGTGCCCTGCCATCCTGGAGCTTGAACTCAAGGCCTAGGCACTGTCCCTGAGCCTTTGTGCTCAAAGCTAGGATTCTACCAGTTGAGCCACAGCATCATTTTTGGCTTTTTGAGTAGTTTATTGAAGATAAGAGTCTCACAGACTTTAATGATCCTCAGCCTTCTAGGTAGCTAGAATTATAGGCTTTAGCTTCTGGTGCCTGGCTTATCCCTGAGTTTTGGTAAGTAATGTAAATGGATTCGTTCTCTCAAGGATTTTTGAAAAGTTCACTGTTATTATAAAGAAACACTACTGAGCTTTTTGTTTTGTTTTGTTTTTGTTGGTCATGGGGCTTGAACTCTGGGCTTGGGCGTTATCCCTCAGCTCTTCAGCTGAAGGCAAGTGCTCTACTGCTTGAGCCACAGCACCACTTCTGATTTTCTAGTGGTTTATTGGAGATAAGAGTCTCACTGACTTTCCTGCCCAGGCTGGCTTTGAACCGTGATCCTCGGATCTCTGTCTCCTGAGTAGCAAGGATTACAGGCATGAGCTACCAGTGCCTGGCTCTACTGAGCTTTTTGTTTTGCATATTGATCAATGGCTTTAGAGCTGGAATAATTACATTTTTTACATAGAGTAAAAGTCATAGACCTTTTTGTGAATATTTTTTTCTAAATTTTATCATGGAATGCATGCTTTCCCTTACTTGTTCTGTTTTCAGGGTTTTATTCTTGCCTACTTCAAAGTCCTGTTTTCATTTTTGGGCCAAATGCAAAAAATAATATCTCTTGGACATTTTTCTGATATAACAAAATCTGCCTCCAGTTCTTGTTTATTAAGATGTCCCCTATAAGAAATGCAGCCATGGCACTCACTAGACACTATGCTGAAAATGAGCTGTACAACTTGTGGGTGGGGATGGGATGGCAAAACCTGTAGATAGCAAGGGAAGGGGTGATATTGTCCAAAAAGAAATGTATTCTTAGCCAGGCGCCAGTGGCTCAGTCTGTAATCCTAGCTACTCAAGAGGCTGAGATCTGAGGGTTGCAGTGAAAAGCCAGCCCAGGTAGGAAAGTCCATGAGAATCTTACCTCCAGAAAACTAGAAGTAACTCTATGGCTCAAGCAGTAGAGTGCTAGCCTTGAAACTGAAGAGCTGTGGGACAGCACCTATGCCCAGAATTCAAGCCCCATAACCATCAAAAAAGTAAGGAAGGAAGGGAGGAAGGGAGGGAAGGAAGAGAAAAGGAAGGAAGGAAGGAACGTACTCTTTTCCGGACCTGTATAACTGTAAGCCCTCTATATATCACCTTTTCTTTTTTTTTTCTTTTTTTTTTGGGGGGTGGTCCGGTCATGGGGCCTGAACTCTGGGCCTGGGCGCTGTCCCTGAGCTCTTCAGCTCAAGGCTAGCGCTCTACCACTTGAGCCACAGCGCCACATCCGGCTTTTTTCTTTTTGCTTATGTGGTGCTGAGGAATCGAACCCAGGGCCTCAGGCATGCAAGGCAAGCACTCTACCACTGAGCCACCTTCCCAGCCCTATATATCACCTTTCAAAAAAAAATTTTAAAGAATTAAAAAAATTTTAAAAGATATCCCCTCTTATTTTCCTATTAGTTGTTTTAATTTAAAAGAATTATGAACTTCTATAACTTTTGTTATTATTTTTACTTTATCATTTTTTTCATGAAATTGTAATGTTGAATTTTCAAAGCCTTAACAATTATTGTATACTGTACATCTGGGATCTGTGTTCTGTTTTATTACTACTTCAAAACAAATTTGTCTTTCTAATGATAGACTGCTGTTGAAATTACTTAACCTATCTTAAATCAATACCTGCTGGCATAGGGTTAAAAAAAAAGTGCCTACAATTCTGTAGAGGATGGAAACTAAGAAGCTAGTCTCACAGTGTGTCACCAGAACATAGTTATTACTATTCCTAGCAGTGTTCTTCTCTGTACTTTTCCCTGTGTTACATCTGATGCCTAAGTCTTCTGCCTTGCATACTGATAATCTTACAATCAAATATTTTTTGCAGAAAGTATATTATTTAGATGGTCTGTGTTCTAATGTCTCAGAATTTTGTCTAAATATATTTTTCTGACTTATTTGGGACTGATAATGAACCCTATTTAAAGATACAACTTGCCTGTAATCCCACCTATAAAGGAGGTAGAGATAAGAAAGATCCACAGGCCAAGCCAGGTTAAAACTTAGTGTAACCCCTTCTCAACAAAGAAGCGAAGTATAGATTATCCAGCTACTTGAGAAGTGCAAGTGTGAAGACCAAAGTCTGAAGCTAGCTCTCAATCAGAAAAGTGAGACCCTACCATAAAATAACTGAAGAAAAAAAATCTAAGAGCTAGTTCAAGTGTAGAATGCTTTCTTAGCAAGCACAAGGTTCTGAATTCAAATCTCAGCAACATAGAAAAAGGAAAAAGATGTCAAACTGAAGACATAGACTACAGGAAATGTTAAATTCTCATTGGGAGTCAGACAACAAAAGTGTCCAGGGAAAAAAGTCATGGACCATTTTGGTGTCAACTATTTTGCTCTTTAAAAGACACCAGTGAGGATAGTTTGTTTGCTTGTTTTAGTACTCTTCTATGCCTCCATGTGTTAGGTAGCCTTCCTCTCCATTCTGTCACATTTTCATTTATAGTCCATTTCCATAAGAGGGTAATTTACCTTTTCCTCACCTAAAGTACATTTACTCAAAGACTAGTAATGACCTCTATTCCTGGTTACTTTTTACTTGTCAGGTACTGTTCTTGATGTTGTCATATAATCTCATTTTAGTCACAGAGTCTATTATTTCGCATAATCTCATCTTAGTCACAGAAGCAGTATTATTATTTCTACTTAATAAATGACACACTTAAGTAGTTACTTCTTCAATGATACACAGCTAAAAAATTCCATGTATAGAAATTTGTATACAAGTTTTTCTAATGAGTTATGACTTTCAATTTCCTTACATGCTGAACACCTTCCTATAAACTCTTACAAGCATATTCTTACCTCTACTCACTCCATGACTGTTCTTCATTGCCTCTTGCTTAAAAATCTAGAATCATTGAATTAAGTTTACTCAGTGACAAATTCAGCCTTCAAAGCGCTTTCCAGACATGGCCCCCTCATCTGCTGCTCCACTGTCCTGCTCTCCACGTAACAGTATTTCAGGGAATTCTCTTTTTCTTCTGATTTTCAGCTATCACGTTGTGCTGCACTTGAAACTTGCACTGCCTTTTACACCTCCCTAGTTTTCCTCCTGAGTTAATTACCTTACCTACTGATGTTGCATGCTTCTCGTATCCCAGGTATTCTTCAAACCCATCAGTGTACTCTCTTGACAGTTTGTTCCTCGGTGGTACACCTTCAGCCCTCAGCACTGCTTTGTGCTTCCTCTTTTGGTTTTTGCAGTTGTACAAGCTTGCAGCGTAAACAACTAATTAAATTCTTTCCAAGCAGATTATCTGCCCTTTTTCCTTTTCACATTACATGGAAGTACATAGGAAATTTTTTAACTTAATATTTAAGCAATGCTTACTAACTTTTGGCCCACTTGAATTCTGTATTTTAGACAAATGAAATTGATAAGGTAACCAGATACAATTGAAAACTTGGTATTTGTATCAAGAAAAAATATCGATAATGACTTTTTGGAAAAGATAATTCTTATACAAAATCACATTCTAGTTTTAAAAATGGGCTACAAAGCACAACAATCTTTCATTCCCCAACAGGTCCACTATAATTCATGTCTGTCTTCCTACATATGGAATAACTTTATTTATGTGAAGAAATCTGAAATATTTAGTGTAGAAGAATATCATTTACCCTAGGGATGTAATCATTTCTCTTTTTAAAACCTGCCAATAACATAAGTTGCAAGGCAAATACAGAGTTGTCTTCAAACCTGTCGTTAGAGATGAGAGTTTGAAAATAATTCTTGAGATGGCTAGTGAGTTTCAATACTGTGTTTTCTTTTTTCAGGTTTCCTGAAATGCAGTTTTTCCAACAAGAAAATGTGAGGAAAATTCTTACAGATGTTCTTTTCTGTTATGCTAGAGAAAATGAGCAGTTGCTTTATAAACAGGTAACAAAAATTATCTTACAGGTGGCACCCATTGACTCTGAATTTTCTATACAGCTTGACAAATGATAGAGCAATAATGCAATCCTTATTGTATCGAGAGATGTGTGATAATGCTAAAGCAATCCAAGTGCTGCTGTCAGCTGTGTGGTATGGAAAGTAAGCTCATTGATTCACATATGCTTCCTCCTCATTAGAAGACATTCTACCAAATTGTCTTTTTTAACATGTTCAGTTGTCTCTTTCAACTTTTGGGAGTTTGTTTATAAACAGGATCTTGGAAGCCAGTTTAGTTACAAAACTTTTCAGAGTTGTATGTATAAACATTTTTCTAAGTACAGCATATATAACTCTATGACATGTTATGTAGAACATAAGTGTGTCATTACTGTAAAACTTACCAGTAGAACTTCAGCAAGTTTAATTTTTTTTTAAATTTATAGTTGGCATTCTTTTTTTTTTTTTCTTTTGTCGGTCATGGTGCTTGAACTCTGGGCCTGGGCGCTGTCCCTATGCTCAGCTCAAGGCAAGCGCTCTACCGCTTGAGCCATAGCGCCACTTCCGGTTTTTGAGTGGCTTATTGGAGGTAAGAGTCTCACGGACTTTCCTGCCTGGGCTGGCTTTGAACCATGATTTGACATCAAAGATAAAACACTGTATAATCTGTAAATGTTACTGAAGGAGTAGAATTCCATTTTGTGTATATATACCTCACTTTCCTTGTCTATTGGTCCATTGAAGGGCATCTGGGCTGATCGCATGCCTTGGCCATGGAAAATAATGCCCCAGTGAACATGGTTCTGCTGGTAGTTTTCTTGTGTCCTTGTTTGTGCTGTAATGGATAAATGCTGAGTAGTATAATTGCCGGGTCATAGGGTAGCTCTATTTTTAGTTTTTTGAGGACACTATCTACTGCTTTCCAGAGTGGTTGAACAAGCTCACATTCCTACCAGCAGTGTAATAGAGTTCCCTTTTGGCCACAAAACCCAGAAAGTTTGGTATTGTTCCATTTGTAAGGAAATAGAAAGACTTGAAAAACATTATATTAAATGAAGTAAACAAGACCAAGGGAACCATGGGTTTCATGGTTTCCCTCATTGGTGGTCGCTAGAATGAACCTATAAATCTTTAAATAAAAACTGGGTGGTAAGCAAATGAATAAACTGAAGTATAATAGACACTGTGGAGAACTCAAATAGCACAATTCTTTAGACTAAGTCAAAGCCCAAGAAAATAAGTAGCAAGACATGGGTATTTTCAAGTGGGGAGATGGGACTAAGAGGAGAGAGGTAGAAGAATGAAAGGGGGAAAGGGAGAAAATGCAGGCAAGAATTAATTGTATAAACTCCAGGGTGAGTCAAAGTAAGGGGTGAAGATGTTGAAGTGTTGACATAGATCAGAATGCATTGTATACATAAATTGCTTTGTTAAGTGACAAAAATTCATTACATAACCTAAAATTAGGAAAAGTGAGGGAAGGGACAGGTGAGAATGTTGAAAGGAGAAACCTTGACTGTAGTCACAGTGCTTTGGTGAATGGCAACTCCTCTGTACAACTATTTAACAGTAATTATTTTTCTATGTTAATGAAGGATATAGAACAAGAATTCAATTAATAGGAAACTAATAGCATGTTTTTGGATGGGAAGGTATTAACAAGTAATGTTGCTTCTTACAAATAAGTAGAACATAACTGGGTGCTGGTGGTTAGGGAGGTTGAGATCTGAGGATGGCAATTTGAAGCCAACCCAGGCAGGAAGTCTTTGAGACTCTTATCTCCAATTGATCACAGAAAAAGCTGGAAGTGGTACTGTATCTCAAGTGGTAGAATAGTAGTCTTGAGCAAAAGGAGCTTAGGGACAGTGCCTAGGTGCCCAATTCAAGACCAGACCAGAAAAAAAGAAAGGAAAATGTAACATAATTCTAGTGATAATCTGTAAATGACATGTGTATTCAGTTTAGCCCCTAAACCTTTAGCAGTTATTTTTGTAGAGATAGTTTTGTAGTTAAAAGCACTGTCTAGATTCAGTTCTCTGTTTTACTCTCTCCCCCACCATGTACTAGTTACCTTTGTCATTTTACTTATCAAGTCTTCTAGTCCTTACTTTTTAAATTTGTAATAAGAGCACAGTGATATTACTTGAAGGTAAGAATATATAGTGACCTGGAGGTGGTGGGTCACACCTTTAATCACAGCACTCAGGAGGTGAGGTAGATCACAAGTTCAAAACCCTCCTGGGATGCATATGAAACCATAAGTAAACACATAAGTAAATATAAATAATGTATACCAAAATTTTGTGTCAATAGTTACCAATGTATTTATAATTATTAATATTAGGGAAGAATGGATAATGGAAATATTAAAGCCACTTTTATTTTTTCCCCTCTAAAATTTTTGTTTTGTTTGATACATATAGTTATAAATCTATATATAATATACCATGGAATGTTTTGATATACATTGTGTTTGTTCCAACCAAGGCAAGGTTTAATTCCTCAAACACTTATTTTTTAAAATAATCTTTATTGAGATTAAGTGATTATATAAATGTCACAAATTTCACAGTATTATAGGATAATGATACTTAGTTAAATTCACAAACACATTTTAACCTTCACAAGGCAAATTGTCATTATCTTGGTCTATAACGTTTTTGAATTCTGTGAGCTTTGACAATATAACCATTTCTTCCACATTGGGTGATATGTACATTTCTTCCTTTTTGCTTGGTGTTAGCTATTCCCTCTTTCCCTCTCATTCCCTCCCTCCCATCGCTGCCCTTGGGTTACTTAGTTCATTTTCATCAATATCCTGTGCAGCTTTTGGGCCCCCTGTTGTATTTTTTTGTTCGTTCACTTTTTACAGATTTTCTTCTTAAGGCCTCAGGTTATTCATAGAAAGGAATTGTTGTGGAAGGAATGAATAAACAGTTATCCATGCCAGGCACTGGTAGCTCCTGCCAGAAATCATAGAAAATCAGAAGTTTGAGATCAAGAGGTTTTTAGGCCAGCCAGTGAAAAAAACTCAGAGACTCCTTTTGAACTTGTAGCTGGGTATGTCCCTGTCCACACCAGCTACGTACATAGGAAACTGAGATCACAGGGATCACAGTTTCAGGCCAGCCTGGGCAGAAAACTCCACAGGAATCCAACTCAATGGAGAGAAGCTGGATGCTGTGTCATGTATCTGTTTTCCCTGTAAACTCTATTTTAGGAATCCTAAAGTAGGTAGATTGGAGCACACATCTTGACAGGAAGTTTTAATTTTATTTAATTTTATGTACAAAGGGGTTACAGTTACATAAGTAAGGTAGTTATTACATTTCTTGTCTAACTTGTTACCCTTTCTGATTTTTCTCCCTCTTTCCCTCCCCTTCCGGAACCCCCCAAGTTGTACAGATCATTTCCAACATACTGTCTTGTGAGTATCACTATTGCATAGGCTCCTCCTTTGTCCTTTGTCTCACCATTTTGTTGTCCCCTTCTCTTCCCTAGTTCAGATACACGTATATATAATATCCAGGGGACCAAAATCGAATACAGTGACAACCATGGGGGGAAAAACACAAAAGAAAAAGAAATCACATAGTACATTGAGAACAACAACTAAACTTTCAAAAAAGCCAGAAGTGGAGCTGTGGCTCAAGTGGTAGAGTACTATTTCAAGGACAGTGTCTATGCAAAAAAAAAAATCTAGAAAGTCTAACTTAAACTTTCCTATTTGTAATAGAATTTTGAATTTATTGATGGTGGGTATATTCAAAATCCTATGTTCTAGGGTTTTTATGATTTAGAGAATACTTTATCAGTGTCTGTAATCAAACCATCATATATAAATCCTTGCATGTTTCTTACCATATGTTATTGCTGTACAAATGGGAAAGATTAAGTTTGATTTTCTAGATTTGTGTGTGTGTGTTTGTGCTGGTCCTGGGGCTTGCACTCAAAGCGTAGGCACTGTCCTTGAGCTAGCACTCTACCACTTGAGGCACAGCTCCACTTCTGGCTTTTTTGATAGTTTAGTGGAGAAAAGAGCTTCACAAACTTTCCTGCCCAGTCTAGCTTTGAACCACAATCCTCATATCTTGACTCACATCTCCTGAGTAGCTAGGACTATGGGTGTGAGCCACCAGCACCGACCTGTACACTGCTATTACTAGAGTCATTCTGTTGTAAAATGAAATTTCAAAACTTATTTATCCTATATAAATGTACTTAGTGTACCATTGATTAACCTTTTTCCACTCTTGTCTCACTTACTACCCAGTCTTTGGTCACCACCAAATTATCATCAAGTTCTATGGAATTAACTATTTTAAATTCCATTTATGGGTAGAACAATGAGGTATTTATCTTTCTCTAGTAGGCTTCTTTCACTTTACATAAAGACTTCCAGCTCTATACAAGTAATCACAGATAACAGGACTTCATCCCTTTTATACTTGGAAGAGTATTACATTTTGTATGTACACACCGCATTTTCTTAACTATTCATCTATTCTTAGGCATGTAGGTTGTTCTCATTTCATAATTTAATGTGGTGCTGGGAAGAGCATAGGAGAACATATGTGTCTTTTCACAATTCCATTAGTGCATATTTCCAATGAAATTGCTTAATGTTTTTTAAAATCTCTGTACTAATTATATTAACTTCCATTTCTACCAGCAGTATGTAAAAATTCCCTTCCACATACTTATAACAATATCCACAGAACTTCTATACAATTTCTGTCATCAGGGGTTGGGGAATAGCTCAATATGAGAATACAAGCTTAGCAGTGGGTTCAATATCCATTCCCCCCGGCCCGCAAAAAAAAAGATTTGTGGTCAAACTAATGGTTTGTATAATGGTAGTATGAGAACTAATTGTTGGATCAGTAAAATAATCCAGGAACAGATTGACTTGTAGGATTAATAGAAGAGAAAATGTGATGTTGACTTGCTGTAGTTGGCTTTCCAGCTAGAAAAATAGGTGTTTATACTTTTATTGAGTAGTAAAG